AGCGTTCACACTGTACTTATGCAGCCATCAAAAAGTTTCTGCAAATTGCCCCAATGTATTGCTTTTTATGGCCATAATTCTGGACATAAAAACTCTTTCACAGCTTAACCAAAGACAGATTTTGGGGGTTTATTTATGACTGTTTGATAAAATTCTTGGTAAATGCAACAATTTCAGGTTTGTTTTTGATTTTATTTTCTAATATGCCAATCATACAAAACAGCGGCAATCCAACATGATACGAGAAGGTATTAACGGAGACAGGTGCTTTTATGAAAAACCTCAAAGGCCAATGGGAAGGGATGATAAAAAGGCACTACAGCCTGAATCCATTTGAGCTCATTTTCTATTGGAGAATTATAACTCTAGAAAATGAATATATCACTCAAAAAGATATTACATTTTCACTAATACCGACCACATCTATAAACAGAACCCAGATCCCACTTTGCAGCTGACAAACAAAACATATGTTAGCTGCAATATTTACCAGAATGTAGGACCACGTTTAAAGAAAAAAATGCACAAGAAAGCTGAGACGGTATCTGAACCAAATCTGAATGCCATTCCTTGGCAAAGCCTGGCTGAAAACGAAAGACTGCATCTGCGTTTCTGCGTCTCTGAGACTGCGGATTCTGCTTGCTTATCCAGTAATCTTTGGAGAGGCCTAGTTCCATTATATACAGTAAAATGGCAGATGCATTTAAAGAAGAAAAGGCTAAATGCTATGTGATAACATCAGGCTGGGAAGAATTGTAAGTTTAGATTCAGTACCTTAATAAACGCTGCTCCAGTGCTGGGGTTCAGTCACCTTCAAGAAGCTAGGAGAAAATAAGCCCAATTTCTATTCTACTGTATCTCTCGAGTGTACAGATGTTCTTAAAAGCTCACTGTCGAAGATTAATTACATAGATAACAATTGAAGAGTCTAGATGGAGGGTAACGTTAATCGCTCTTGTTTCATGATGAATTCCATTTTTTAAAAGTGATTTAAAAAGTCACATCCAAGAGATATGCAAAGACAGACTCTTGTCCTGACAGGAGTTTGTTAGTTCTATGAATGTTTTTCTACTTTCAATATAGCACCTGTAATCACTTTAGTGCATGTGGAGCTGTATTAATGGGTCAAAGCCTGAAGCGAGCTGGATGTTTTCTGGTGGAAATATAAAATCTGTACGTCTTAACTTAAATTGCAGACCAGTATTTTTTCAGTGGATCTTTCAGTTGTGGTTAATGATGCTGATTCTACATACAATGAACGGCTGGTTCCCTTAAGATAGGCTCTCAGAGCATCTTGTTTATTTATTTTTTGCATGAAATGTTTTACACAAGAAGAGCTTCCTAAAAAATACCCCATGGCACAGACCTTGGACCACACACTTTCCAATTAACCATATTGGTTGTTCCACACTGGCTGTTCTGTATTAGTTGGTCTTGAATGCTTATCACCCAAACTCGGAATGCACACGCAACCACATAAAGAGACAGAAGCAAAAGACAGGGTGACAGAAACAATCACAAATGTCTGGATATCAAAACCAAAATCACATGCTGCCCTTTGCTCTCCTCCCATTATGTTAGTCACATTCTGTTACTCACCCACCAAAACATCCGAAGAGAATGACCTAACCTCCAGCAGCACTTAGATACCTGCCCCCCCCAAAATAGCAGGCTGTGATGTGAGGTCAGGCTCACATACGCATCGGGCAGATATATCCCAGGCACTCGCATAGCCCTAAGAGTTTTTTTTTTTTTGTGCAATATATTTCCAGCACAAAGAACATCTTTCAAAATGCCTTTTCAAAATGGGGCATGAGGATTGAACAGGTTTCAGTAAACAAAGTGGTCGTCTAACCTAAAGCTCCTCTGCTTTCCATAAACCAAGCTGCTCGACATCTAACTAGATCCAGTGAGTTTACACGGTTGGAGGCAAAAAGAACCACCACATGGATCCAGTGAGTTTACACGGTTGGAGGCAAAGAGAACCACTACATGGATCCAGTGAGGTTACACGGTTGGAGGCAAAGAGAACCACCACATGGATCCAGTGAGGTTACACGGTTGGAGGCAAAGAGAACCACCACATGGATCCAGTGAGGTTACACGGTTGGAGGCAAAGAGAATCACCACATGGATCCAGTGAGTTTACACGGTTGGAGGCAAAGAGAACCACCATATGGATCCAGTGAGGTTANTTACACGGTTGGAGGCAAAGAGAATCACCACATGGATCCAGTGAGTTTACACGGTTGGAGGCAAAGAGAACCACCATATGGATCCAGTGAGGTTACACGGTTGGAGGCAAAGAGAAGCACCACATGGATCCAGTGAGTTTACACGGTTGGAGGCAAAGAGAACCACCACATGGATCCAGTGAGTTTACACGGTTGGAGGCAAAGAGAATCACCACATGGATCCAGTGAGTTTACACGGTTGGAGGCAAAGAGAACCACCANCCACATGGATCCAGTGAGTTTACACGGTTGGAGGCAAAGAGAATCACCACATGGATCCAGTGAGTTTACACGGTTGGAGGCAAAGAGAACCACCACATGGATCCAGTGAGTTTACACGGTTAGAGGCAAAGAGAACCACCATGGACAGAGGCAAAACACATAAGGCAGAGCCAAAACTGGAGGACAGACACTTGTTTGCCAAGGTCACCACAATGGTTGGGGTTCAGTGCAGAGTCTGCTCATCTGTCTATAGAGATGCGGTACAGATGTAAAGAAGAACCCTACTTTAATCTTAACACAGAGACTGCAGGGTCACAGATCAAAGGATACTCCTTCTTTAGTGGTTACCGGTTTCCCTCACTTAAGCTTGGGAAAGTCATCGAGTTCGACTAGCAACTGAAGTTCCGAAAAGAGAATTCAGGATCCAAGGAATCACTGAGCCGACGTGGAAAGCGGCTGCGAGTATATACATCGTAAGATCGCATTTTCAGCAGGCCTGTTGGGAATTTCATATGTATTCCAATCACAGGGAACCGTGTCTGAGAGTGGTTTAACACTTTGTGGTAGGGCCTAGTCTGTTAGTGAATTATAGAGCTCTCTGTAACAGCTAAAATTATTGCAAAGTAATATAGTAATACAAGACAATCAGCACTCATGGAAAACATTGCAAGAGCTGATCATGGATTTATTCTGAACTGTACAACACTCGTTAACTCGCTGCATATGGGTTGCTTTGAAAATTCGTCATTAGTCGCGTACAAATGTGTCAGCTGTACTACTCAGTGCACGAAGACTGCAGATGCTGGGTCTGTGTTCAGGAATGAAAATAAAAAAGAACAGATATGGACCAATGAGAGATTGTATGAGTATTTCCTGCAATCTGGGATTACAGAATAAAGAGCTGAGGTCGTATATTCAGAGTGTTGACGGCGATGTCATTATCTTTAAACAATAACCCAGCAGGATGGACCAAACACAAAGACAAGTCCGTCATTAAGAGGCTAAACATTAAAAGCATTTAGGTTTGTATCCAGACTTTCAGTATGGTTTACAGGAAAGAGAGGCTGGACATAGTTTCTCTTGAATGTCACAAAGTACAAATGTTCATTACACTGAACAATTCATGCCACGAGCAACAACTGTTTTAGGTGTCTTGTGTGGCAAATACTAATAACTACAAAATGGAATTAATATGATCAATGGGCTTTTACATTAAACAAAAAAGAAATATGAAAACAATCAGTAGTCATGGCAACAATCATAGCAATTATAATAGCTATACAGTCTTGAAGTCTTATTAAAAATCAATTATCAATAATAAGCAATAGATATAACTTAACATGGGTACTGCAGCAACATTATTTCTCGGTATTTTACATACACAAGTACAGCATGTAGACATATCAAACACCAGGATACAAAATAATTAAGTGGATGAAAAAGATGCCTGGTGAGAGACAAATTCTTAAACTGTTGTATTATTTTAGGTCAATAGTTCAGTTTTCAAAAGGCTTGAAGCATTCCAACTAAATTCCGTTATAAAATCCTTCAAAATCCCTTCCTATAATTAGATTTGAATGCAAAATTTTGATCATGGAAAATAATGCATTTACTATAGACCACAGAACAATTGCATTAAATGATTAGACTGCAAATACCCACTAAATCCACTTAATAAGTAAACAAAGCTACAAAAATAAGGAGTAAAACCTAAAAAAGGCCTCCAATTAATTTGGATTTTGGTGCATTCACCCACTTTAAGGCTCAGCACATGCACATTTTGACATGTGAATGTTGATTATTCGATCCGTTTTTAGGGAGATCAATGGTTAATTGCGTTTTCTATAACTACCACTAGGGGAAGCTGTTGCATGAGGCAAAAGTTTGGCCACTGTGAAGCACACTGAAGTGCGGCGTCATTGAAACATATGTTCCCGCAAGTGTAACACTGGCAGTCCGCCGTTCTAACGTGAGCGCCGTACGATGGCCCGCCCTTTGAAATTAACGCAATAAAATGTGCAATGTGTTGTACTATTTCATAGGATTGACTTAACACTATGAATTGACCTTCAAGAAAGCCCCATTATGAAACATAGGAGACTGCCGGTATGCACGACCAGAAAAGCAATGTGTTACGAGTACGAGGAAAACAACACACACACACACACACACACACACACAAACGTAGTGCTCACGTTAGCCGTGTAATTGTTTTTGAAGGGCAGCGTATTTCCATGGGTATTGCTTTTTCTTCGTAATAAATCGCAATAGAATCAAATACGATCAAGTACATGCCACTTTGCCAGTGATTCAACAGCCCGGCGTAAGACGTTTCAAGGAGACGAGCCCTGTCTACCCCGGCCAGTCCTTACCGATGAATTAACGGTGCACCGTCCAATACAGATAATGAGTGGGGGGGAGGGGGGGGGAGACAGTGTATCCCGTTTATGTTTGTATCTGCGTGATCAATACATTTCAGATGATGCCGGAAATTGTACCGAAGGGAGGACTGGCGAGGTAAAGATAACTGAATGGTGCACTTACCATATTGACTTCGGATACCATGTCTATGCTCGCAATGTCTATATTCATTCCTACTCCCACCGGGGGACCTGGAAACCAACAAAAGGGTTGGCAAAAAAATACGTTAATAACTTGTTCATTTATTAAAAATTCGCTACATTTACTGCATGCGTGTCCGATATGAAACACCCCATACGCCGTGCATTAGCCAATAATCTGTATCTCATCCGCATCCAGGTAATAAATATCCACTACACCGGTGAGTTAACGTCTGGTTGTGAATGCAATTGTTGATTTCTAAAATACTACACGACCTTTCTAATAAAATAAGAATGATAACACTGTGGAAAACTACTTTCTCCCTTTCATAGAAACTATGTAGGCTATATAGATATTTTGCTTTCGCATGTTAAAACCACTGACATTAACATCCTTAAAATTGCAATGGACATTTACAACCTGACCGTAAAAGATGATCAAAGTGTATTTTCGCATACAGTAACAGACAGATGCACGTTATGGACTCAAAGATAATCGGTGTATTGCAAAAGTTGAATTTCATATTAAATCGGTACAAGTTTTAAAATGCCATCGTCGTAAACTACGCATTAAAACAGCATACAAAGACGATGTCTCTATAAAATGAACATTGTACGTTATCGACAAGCCTGGCCCGCTACCTTCACGGTCGGAAGCAACGTGCACTTCACTTTAAAATGAGCTCTTGCATCTGGCGATTCACAAAATTCAAGAAATAGCCACGCATGCTTATAAATAAAACACCATTGCATTAAATAAGTGTCTCTATTAAATGGGTTGATTTACCTCCAAAATCTGGCCTCAAGCGAATGTCATATCCTTTCAACAGTCTATCCACAGTTTCTTTGACGAGTGACATATTGCTAGGGTCATTGACACTAGAAGAAAGGGAGATGCATTCTTAGTTAAAGATGTTTCTATGACCATTTACAAGTGATATATAGTACATGCACGCGGAGAAAGTACGAATAATCTAATCACTCACCTCTGCGCACAAACAACGGCCACAATTAAAGGAAAAGTCCAAATGCCGAAATAGCTTCTTTTTCTAATTCTCAGCATCGCCATAGTTTTGATATGATTTTGGATTTCAGTGAAGACAGACGAGGTCCAACTTATTCTTGCCAGTGCCGTAATTCCAATGTGGAGCGCATGCGCACACGCTACCACAACATCAAGGAGCAGCGGCTGCTGATGTTGGTGGTAGAGCAATTTCCCAGGCTGGGGGAAAATTTAAAGGGGAAAGCGAAGCATGGACCGAGCGGATCACAGGCGTCCAAAATACAAAAGAAGGGCAGAAAACAGAACTGATACATCTGCAAGCTGATATATCAGAAACATATAACGCTTTAGATCGAAAAAATTCCCGTACGAAATTATTTTGAAACTGGTGCTTACTGTTTTTACATTTCACTTAATTTACCTCTCGCGGTCACATATTATCATTAATAGTAACCCGTGGCCAGGAAATATCAAACAAGCAAACAAACAGACAGACAAACAAGCAGTCAAACTTTTCCTTGCTGTTACCAGCAAACAACAGCCGATGCGGGAGCCTGATTCATTACAGTATGCTGGTGCATGCTTGGGGGGCCGGATGCCTTGCTTTGAATTTTAACATGGGTTTAAGGTGGTCTTGCCTGGGTTTAAGAGGAATGGGTTTCACCGTGTCAGCTGCTCGCATGTGTGGTGATGTTGGGGGTGGGGGCGGTGCGGGGGGGGGGGGGGGGGGGGTTTAATGAGTGCTACAATCGGAAATTACTGGGGAAATAACGCAACATATTTCTTTCTCATGCATGTATATTCAGTTCTTTTTGCTGACTGTTATTAAATGCCAAACTAACAGCTGTTTTTTTTTAAATCTTTATTATGCAATGATGCTAACGTGCAATACGCTTAGAAAACCTCTGCAAGAAGAGAATGTGATGCTTCTGTGCTCTTCTGGGGGGGGGGCATGTAGGCTGGCGCCTTTGGCAGGTGGCCACGTTTGCGGGATGCTGGTCACACACGCGGCTGTGGGCTACGCTGCTCGCCCTGCGGATAACGTGAGTCGAACTTCGGGTACACGACAGTGGTCTCTAATTAGTAAAAAATGTTGATGATGTTGATCAAAAAAATTTAAATCTATAAATAATGCAGCCTGGCGAGTCTTTTTCCAGCCTAATTAAATGACATTAAAACTGCATCGTTTCAGTTCAGAGTTTAGCCAATATACGATTTGGATCAGCATGACGCGTAACGCCGATATATATGACCGAAGATAGGAACTAATGTAGGAATAAAGTGAAAGGTTTCAACACCAGTAATAAGTGCCTGAAACGCCCTGAAGACACATGTCAGGGGTGTAAAAGGAGGCGGCATCTGAGACTCCATGACAGGAGACACGGAGGTGGGACGGCACGCGGGATTAATGCTCCGCTAGTTACAAAACCCACCCCAGTCCTTCATTTTAACCCGATACATCGATTAGTCCCTCGTTAGTTTTATTTTGGGGGATATTATAATATTTAGCTATAATATATGTTAATAAAGGAAGATATGCCCAGCAACATTAGCATATAGTACTGTAAAAATAATTTAAATTAAGTTGCAACCTAACCCTGTATTCCCGACAAAGACATTTCTGGTAAAGGAATAAACGTTTTTGTCCCATTCGCGAATGAATTCGCCTTTGTCTGCGAATATCAATGTTGTTTCAGCAAGATGTGTCTATAAATCTCTGTTGTAGTTCCAATATATGGTTAGAGGAGTGCGACGGAGTTGCAGTGAGATATTGTTACAAATCCAGCTATGGTATTTAAACTTTATCACTGTAGCTCGAGCGTCAATTATGAGCCAGTCGAAGGTCCATGACACTCCGTGTGATTTGAACCTTTCGCCAGGAATGAAGGCGTCATATAGTTAATTAAATAGTACATAGTTCCGAGAAGTTGTTCTTTATTTAATACATACTTTTATTAATTAGTTATCGTTTTGTATTTTCTACGGCACCAACACGGACCATGTTAATATAAGATTACATCTGTGCTTGCCAAGTCAGTAATTTTGCTGTTAATGTTTAAGCTTTAGCTTTTATATTAATCGACTTATCAGTAATCAGTGGAGTGTATTATTATGTGTCCAAATCCTTTGGTATTGATTAAAATGCACTGTCATGCTGGGGAATCAAGTTCGCACACAAGAAGAAATTCTTATGAACATTATTGTCAGTTCATGTACAAACTGCCACCTGAATCTCAGGGCTGGCTCTGTGCGCATGACTGCAACTCAACAGTTCTACCCATTGTAAGATTTTAATAGAATTTGAGAACACCATCCATCCATCATCCATCCATCCATCCATCAATTCACATGCACATTAAACATATTTTAGCTTTTTTAAGAAAGAAAGAAAATAAACAAGCAAATAAATAATAATTAAATAATCCCCTATTTCTGGTACTCTTATATGTGCAAAATAAATGGACAACATGAAGTATAATACTGAACATGGACATTTTGACAAATTCAAGATTTGCCCGGAATTTTATTCCATTTTTCTAAGGTACTGAGCTCTTTCTGTACTGCTAAACAACGATTTAGCAGCAACAAGTAGATCTGGGCCTAATTTAGACCGACAACATAAGCAGGCGTAACAGCAGATAATGTCGCACAAAAAATTAGTCAGTGAGAAAAAAAGCAAAAGATTCTGGTGGAGAGAAACAACAACAAAAAAAAAAATTCTGTGGTACACAAGAGAAGATGAAAATTCTGGGAGATCCAAAGCTAATATTCTGCCCATGAATTTGTGAACTTCCAACTGCGTTGTGACGCTAAAAGCAACGTTAAGAGTCGTTCAATGAGCTTCCATTCGGTCCTGTTCGAGCAGCAATTGATGTCTGGCCAAACACACGGTTCATAACTTCATAAACAGTCCCCAGCTTAGCTTCGTTAGCCGCTCACTAATACCACTCATGGTGGGCGTGTAATTTACACACACTTCTCACTTATTCATCCATCACATGACTCACTCGCTCATTTACTGGATGTTAAAACACCATCTCCCCCACCCACACCAGTTACATTGTGATTTTGGAGATTTTTCAGAAATAAAAGCATCATGTGACAGGAACTATGCTATAATGTGGCTGAGTCTGCAAAGGTCCCGGTCGCATTTAACCACATCATCAGTAATTGGTTTCGAAAACAAAGATAAGTGATTCATTGAGCCCAGGGACTAAAATTCACTGACAGACTCATACCTTGAATCAGTGGGCCGGTCTATTTATCATGGATTCAGTTAGTTATCGATTAGCTGGTCAGCGATCCAGGTCGCTTTTGGGATTCTTTGAGATGCAGTTCAGTGTCTACCCCTTTGAAGCAGTTTGTACACTGACCAAGTAGTTACAGAATGAATCGACCCCCCCCCCGGTACATAGTTAGCGAACAACGATCGTGCAGATTGTGAAAGGTGAGGTCATTTTAATTTAAATGTCTGTAGCACGTCCTTTGCGACTGAAGAAGCAGGTACCGTGAAGATCGAACCTGCCCAGCCATTGCAGATATTCGTGAATGCCTTTTGGGTTACGCAACGCAAACCGGAGAGGAAGCCCAATAAAACGTTTCCGTAGAGACCGTCTAAACAACATCATTGATCGTCTGTTTGATTTGAATATGCTTTGCATTTAGATTGCTTTCCCCTGCCTCTAATGCGCTAGGTTACAGCTGCAAGCCTGAGAGTTCTCTGCATTTTGGCGACAGGTGAGGTGCTTTATCCAAGGCACACAGTGAGACGTGTGGGCGTTCTGGCTGACCGAAACAAAGCGCCGGCCATCATGAACTAAGATCTGAGGGGGCTATGCACCCTATACGCTTTTTCTCAACATTAAACCTCGTATGGGGGTAGTCTTTGGCTGCGGGGCTTATGATCGGAAGGTCACTGGTTCAAATCCCGCAGTTGGCAAAGTTGAATTCACTGCTGGGCTGGAGAACAAGATCTTTAACTGCTGATTGCCTCAGAGATTGTCTGATCATACTTTCTCAAAAAACAAAACAAAACATAATTTAGAATAAAAGCATCTGCAAAATAAATAAAATGTAAATGATATAGTTCCCTTGTCTTATGATGAAGCCACTGATGAGATTCGGGAAGGGCTACAGTGGTACTGTCAGATGCAGGGTCGCCCTTATCTTCACACTAATCACACCAGCATCAAAGGAGTCCTGGAGCAGATCTCAGGGGGATAAATGAAGAGGCAGCATTGTGCTTGGCTAAAATAATTAATCCAGGGTGTATTCCAGCCTTGTGCTCCCCCCACCTGGCAACCCTGACCAGGACAAGCTGTTACAAGATGGATGGATGGATAGGTGGATGGATGTTTTAGCCGGATGATATAACCTTTACACTCACATTTTTTCCTCTTATACACCATAGAAACATTGCGCTCGACACTTTCAGCTCAAAATTAATATATTGCTCTACCCTCAGCTGGAATTCAGGTCGTTTTCCCAGCTGACCTGTGACGTTAGGTAGTGTGCAGTGCACGCAGAAGGGAGGCAGAAGATGGGGATGAGAGCGGAGGGAATGTCATCTGCAGGTTCCTGCAGACTTTCATGGTGGGGGGAGCCTGAGAAGGTATCTGAAGAGGGATGGAGCTGACGGAGAGAACAGGGACAGCAGGATGGAATCCTCAGCAGGAGTGAGGGGAACAGGTGGCCATCATTTGGGGGAATCAGAACTCGGTTCACCGCGTTAAATCAGCCAGAAGACACCAGACCGGTATCATCTGTATGCAAGATGACTACAGGCGTGCAAAACAAGGCCTGCTCCTTAGGGCACAAGTACGTGCTTTGTTGAGTGAATGAACGTCTTCGTCGTAGGCCAGCCAGAAGGGAACTTTAGTCGTGGCTCACGGGAGTTTTACTTGCACAAAAATGTAGGCAGAAGAAAAAAAATGATTGGTTCAGAGATATGACCAATCAGATTTAGAGGAGGCGGGTCAAAGCAAACTAGAGGAGGCGGGACCAACCAATCAGATGTCTCCCACGTGCGAAGTTATTTCATTCCTAAGCTGCTAGTCCATTAAAAGTAACCATAATCCAATGCGATTGGATGATACCTGTGTTAGTGTGGCTCTGTTTTCCCTTGAGCCTTAGAAAGGTCAGGTAGCAGGTTTCTGAAGAGCCTTCTGAGGAATCGTGGCAGCTATTTAGCTGCACAAGCATCCGCATGACTCTGCATTACTGACTTGCAAGAGGGATGCAGCCTGAACCTCCCGTGTTTGCATACTGTAACCTTTCGGCCACCGAACTGCGCTGCCTGCTTGACAATGGGCTGCGATTTCCATCAGGTGGTTCAAAGGTGGGGTCCTGTGTGTCAGATGGTCGAGGTTAATAATACGGAATGCGGCATTTATGTAGGAATACAACATAAGTAGCGGAGATGTTAGCATGCTGGGCGCTACTGTTAGTATTGCGGGTTTGCTGACGGTGTATTCAATGCATACCCATGTGGGGTGGGGGGGGGGGGGGGGGGGGGGTGGTAAAGAATTCAAGATA